AATATTTTAAATTATCATGCATGAAAGAGGGAATGATAGTTATTTGTTGATTTTGTATTTAAAAAAATCAAGTAATCTAGGATTTGGCCCTAAGAGTATAGTGTTCATGTAATGATATGTCTGAAGTCTTCAGAAACTTCAAGTCAGCATACATGAGAGAGGAGAAAAGTTCATTTGTTAATTTTGTGTCTCAACAAATGGAGAAGGCATAGAATTTGATCCTAAAATCCAATGAACTTATGGCAGGATATATCTAGGATTTTGGGGAAATCCAAACATCATGCACAAGAGAGGAAAAACTACTAAAAGAGAGCTTTTATATTTCATTTGAGTGTTTTGGACTCATTTGGACAGGGAAGATTCATTTGGATTCCTCTAAATAAATTTTGCAGATCAATTTTGGCATGATCTAAGAGAAACTTAGGAGTGATGCATGAGAATATTTATTACTCTAAAGCTTTAAATTTTGTAAAATGTCACATATGAGTTTGATTGGCCCTCTATATTACAAAATTTTCAACATAAACCTTAGGGGGTATGTAAGAAGTTTCACAATGATTTAGAATTGCTTTAGACCAATTAAATTCACATATGTGCTTTTTCCAAATATTGCAAGGAGCTACAAACTCCAACGTATGCAGGCTTCTACAACCTATATCAACTTTGTCATGATACAAGCATTGGGTGATTTGCATTCTAGAGGATACTCACTACCCTCCTTAACCATTTGAAATAAGAGATGCAAAGCATGCTTAAATAATTTAGAAACATGTGAGGATTTGGTTTATGGGTCCTCGAAAAACCCACATCTACCTCAAATTTGCTCCATATTAAATAAGCATGTTTAGCAGTTCCCCAATGATTATATAAGTGTAAGAACCCTAGAGAAAGAGACCTACAATGTTTTCTAAACTCTTAGTATCATGCAATTTGTTTGATCAAGTGCATAGCCATCAAAATTAAATATGATGACTACGAAGCCTAGGTTTCTCATAGGCGATGGATTGGAAAGCAACACAAATGCTAAAACATGCATTTGGAGGATGTTGGACATCAATCCAACAACCCTACATGCATCGGCATGCTCTTTTGGCTCTCAAATGAGGACAATTCAATGAAAATCACCAGATTTTCATGAATTTGCTAAGGGAGCAGCAAACATGGGATTTATCTTGGGTTTCAAAATTAAATGCAAGGGTTTTCTAGGTTCCTAAGGCTTGGGGAGCATCATACACACATCCATTGGACAATATACCTAGGCTTTGCTAAGTTTTGAGGGATTTTACCTTGCCAGGTCCAATCACCGCGCTAATGAAATGTTATCGCCTTGCAAAAAGCGAGATGGAGGAAGGAGGTCGCTGTCCAAGGAGTTCCGGAAGTCGCTTTCCACGGTCATGAGGCCGGAGTTGGATATATGAGGAAAAGAAGCCTTTAAACTCCTTTGGCTATAGAAATATGGAACTACAATGGTCTAGTCATCCAACAATGAAATTCTTCTAGCCCTTGACTTTAGTTGGACAGCACCGCAAATGAAATCGGAGAACTCAATCACTTTTGCACGCACAGAGAACTCAATCACTTGATTCCCTCTCGATCGAGACTTCCAGTAACGAGCGTGAGAGGAAAAGCATCGATTCCTCCTGCATTCGACTCGACTCGTATACACAAATGCATGGGAGTTACCCCGCTCGGCTTCTACTCTATCCGACTCCAGACACCCAGCCGCCTGATTCATCCAAACTGCACGCATGCGAGAAGGCTCCCGCTCGCTCCCTTCAGCCTCGTAAATCACACGAAGCAACGAACCACTCTGGAAGGGAAGCATGAAGGAAGAACAAAGCCAGAGAAGACTGAATCCCCTCTCTGCCTTGTACACACGAAAACAAAAGGATATCCCGATCGAATCCCCTCTCTCCCGTTCTCTCTCGGCTCGGGACGCACATAGAAGTGAGAAGCCTGAAGAGGAAGCCTGCTCCTCTCGATTTCGTATATCCATAATATTAGATATCCCACTCTATTGCCTACAGGATTTGACGAGAAGCAACGCACGCAGACAACCAAAATCAAGGAGATTGAGGTCGTCGATTTGATTTCCTGATTTATGGAAGGATTTGAATTGATTTGGAAAGTCAATTGGGCTCATATTGAACCAATTGAACTGAAATTGAGCCCAAATCAAACTCAATTTGAATCGATTTGCGTCGATTCTAGTTCGATTTGGCCCGATCAAGTCAATTTGATGAAATTAAACTCGAATCGGCGGCGCTGATTTGAGTCAATTTAGGGTTCGACAAGGCTGATTTGGATTGATCGGGTTCAATCAAATTGATCAGGTCTGATTTGACTCGATTTAAATCGAGTTGAAACGAAAAATGCGTCAACAATGGGGAATGCATTGAAAACCCGTGTGCTTCCCTCATATTTCATGCTACCACACCCCTAGAATTTCTCCTTACCTGTCAACATGTGTTTCCCTCAGATTTCGTGCTACCACACTCCTAGAATCTCCTCCTCACAAATCATTCATTGCTAACATAGTGGCAATGCTATGGGAACCTTGGGATAGTATGTTATTCTCCTCAACTACATTGAAAAGGTTTTGAATCCAATGATAGATCACAAAGTCTCGCATTCTGAGCACTCTATTTTCTCTCCTATGCCTATGAGAAAATTTGGAATTTTTGCAAGACCATGGACAGTTATTCCTGTTAAATGCTTTTTTTTTTTAAGATTTCCAAGATTGTCGACAACTATTCTTGTTAATTGCATTTCCGGTTTTGTTTTCCTTATTAACTATTTTCAGTCAAGCCACATTAATATAATTACTTCTTTGATCTTTACTTATAGCTATGGTAAAAAAAATTCAATTTCTGCTGGTTCTTTTTTTTTGTATAAATATCTCAACTTCCTGCAGTAAAAAACAAGTGGAATGAAAACAGAATTTCTCTCTCTCTCACTAGCTTTATATATGTAATACAAAGTCATATACAAGCACACAAAATCTTACTTTAAATTATTATTTGCAACTTTTGATGAAAATCAAAAATATGAAGGAAATCATTTCAGAACATATTAGAAATGATGCTTAGAAATTCAGGGAAGCACCAACATGAAATCCATGCACTCTTTGAAACCTAGCTTATATCAACTTTGAGTAATATAAAACACGAAATTAATCCACAACAACAACAAGCCTTTATCCCACTGTGGGGTTGGCTACATGAATCTTTTTTCACCATTGTGTCAAATTAAGAGTCAAATTATTATTTAACTATGATAGAAAAAATCATTTTTAAAACTTTCTAACCAAGACTTTTTAGATCTACCTCTATCTTTCTTAACATAAGTCAGATCTAATACATCTACTCTCCTAATAGATTCATTAGAAGGCCAACATTTTATGTTACCAAACCATTTAAGGTGAGTCTCTCTAATTTTATATGAAATTGGAACTGCAACTTTTTTACATATATACTTATTTCACATTCTATCTTTAAGTTTAAAGCCACTCATCCACCTAAACATCCTCATCTCTGCAACATTTAACTTAAATTTATGCTTCTCTTTTAATAAACAACATTCAGCGCCAAAAAACATTGCAGGACTCACCGCCGTTTTATAAAATTTGTCCTTAAGTTTGAGGGGCATTTTTCTATCACACAACAAGTCCGAAGCATTCTTCCACCTCAACCATCAAACTTGAATTCTACTAATAATATCATCATTTATTTCACCATCTCTTTAAATAAAGACCCAATAAAAATATTTAAAATAATGAATTGTAGAGGAAAAGAAGACATTGACAGCAGAAAACTTATGCCTCGTGCATATACAAGGAGAACATCTACTCAAAAATATTCTAAGTAATCTATTTGATTAAGTACTTGACTCTCAAAACTATAATGAATACCACAACCGGTCAGAACTTCATTAAGAATAAAATTGAATAATTTTTTTAGATACCTCAAACCCCTATTTCTTATAACTGGGTTCTTTTCATAATTATTATATCTAATATCATGAATTCACTGAAGAAGCAATTATTAGAAAATGATAACAAACTATGACTTAATTAATTTGACTCCGCCCATCAAATATTGCCTAAATTCTAATGTCAATTAAGTTTTATTGAAAAGATATTCCATACTTGATTACTCACTGATTTTCCAAGCCAAAAGTTATAGAACACAAATAAGTAATAAAATTATGTTTTCTTCCGCAACTACAGTGTCCCAATAAAAGAAAAGGGGAAAGGATTGCATTTGGTGTCAAGAGCTCTTCACTTTCACATGACATGGTCTGGTAGAAGATCCAAATTGAATCCTTTTCTCCTCAAAATTGGGCAATATATTCTCACCTCGACCAGCAAAGTCACGGGAAGAAGCTCACGGATGATATCACACTGACAGGCACAAGAGGAGCAGGATTGTGGAATTGCAAAAGTGATAGGAGCTCACAAGAGAGCAAGCCGGCACAACGAATGTCACGCGAACTGTTAAATTCAACTTCTCCGGGATTTAACTTGGCAGTATAATTTAGATGCTGCAAAAAATTGCTCGGCGATAATTAACCTAAATCCTAGTTAAATCTTCCAAATTAAAATATTATTTTCTGCTAAGGATTTTGGAAATATTTATCAGCTGAAATTACGAATAGGGGGGACAAATATAATTCCCTTTTTTACTATTTCCATGGAGGTCCTCCTGCCCCAGTTCTAAATTCATTGGAAGGAGCAAAGAGAGCACTAAAAAAAAAAAGAAAAGGAAAAAAGAAAAAGAAAAACAAATCTAACATTATTCCCCTCCTTCAGCTATTTATAGTCTAATAGAACTGCAATGGGCCAAATTAAAATGCATCCATCCAATCAAAATTTGCGCTGGGTCAAATATTTGAAAAAGTGAAATAAAAGTTCTGCTTCAGCAGATATTCACTTAAGATCCCCCCAGAATAAACCCTAGAATTGAGAAAATTATTAAAAAAACGGAACTTAAAAAGCTTACCAGGATAAAATTGACAAGCAAAGGCAAGGCGTTCACCACCGGGATAAGGAACAGCGGCAAAAGGCAGGCTAAGCACACCTATAGATTGAAGAAGAACGGGCAAAAGAAAGGTTAATCTATTTTGCAATCGAATTTACAGAGTTTTGATCGTAGTAGAATAGATGAGCCCAAAGATGGAGAAGAAAAATGCAAATTTTAGGAAGAAGAACAAGCGAGGAATTACCATTTTCGAAGGGGTTTTGCTCTCGTTGCTTGACCTCCTGCAACCCTGTTCGTCTAGAGGAATAATCGATCGATACTCGATACCCGACGAGTCGTCTTCCTAATTATGGCTTGGAAATTTAACCAACAGTGGTTGGGAATTTTGATATTGTAGTCGAAAATTCGTAGGTGGTCAAATGTTTTATTTTTTTCTTTTTTTAATAATGAAATATGCTTAAAATTTGCATTCTAAGTTCTAACAAAATTAACCTCCCTATATTTAGAGATTATTTATTAAAATATATTAAAATTTTTTGATTTGATCAAGTTACAAACAATATTTGTATTAAACTTCAAATAAATTTAAAGAATAATTTTTTTTTTAATTGCTTGACCTCCTGCAACCCTGTTCGTCTAGAGGAATAATCGATCGATACTCGATACCCGACGAGTCGTCTTCCTAATTATGGCTTGGAAATTTAACCAACAGTGGTTGGGAATTTTGATATTGTAGTCGAAAATTCGTAGGTGGTCAAATGTTTTTTTTTTTTTTTCTTTTCTTTTTTTAATAATGAAATATGCTTAAATTTTGCATTCTAACAAAATTAACCTCCCAATATTTAGAGATTATTTATTAAAATATATTCAAAAAAATTATTTGAGCAAGTTACAAACAATATTTGGATTAAACTTCAAATAAAATTAAAGAATAAGCTTTTTTAATAATTTCAAAAATAAGCTTAAGGCTTCATTTGGGACAGCTTTAATACTATTTTCTAAAATATTTTTCTAATACAAAAAATTTGGGTTCTAAAAATTTTTATACTATAATATTATTTTAGAAAGCTGTAAGAAAATTACCTCACTCAAAGCCTTAGATTCAAATATATCTAAACAATGTTTAATTAAGATTTGAACAAAATTGAAAATTTATTTGAAAAGTTTGAAAAAGATTAAAAATAATATTTGAATAGGATTCAAATAATATTTGAAAGAATATTCAAATAAGGTTCAAGAAATTCTCGAAAGAAAGTAAAAATAAAATTCAATTAAATTTTAAATCATCCAAATATGATTTGAAGAATATTCAAATATCATTGATAGAAGATTTGAACATCATTTGAACAATTTTCTAATAAAATTTTAATAATTCAAGCATAATGCAAACATGATTCAAACAGCGTTATAATACAATAGAATTTAAGATTAATCTAGTAGAGTGTAATCACATCAACAACATAGTAAAGATTATAAATTAAAATAGCATATTGTAATCATCATAAGTAATAAGAAAATATACTTGTTGGATCCAAATATGTCCATTAATGACACCTGACCTTGGCCAACCTGCAAGTGTGCGACTAGGAACCTGTGTGAAAATTGAGAAAATGGGGGAATGCTCAAAAAGGTTGTAGTAAATACTCAAAATCTCAATAAGTTAGAATACGACTTGGTATCATAAGCTTCAAATATCCAAAAAAAAAAGCGTCAAATGATCCTCATCACCTTTTATTTGCAGTTATAAGGGCAATAGGAAATTTTACACCAAAAAAAGTAAAAAGTACGATGTTACACAGACTACCCAAAACATGTTTCATGTTCTAATTGATTAAGGGAGAGTGGGGATTGTAGAGCTCAGATGATCTATCTCTAAACAAACTCAACAGTGATGAGTATGCCCTATGTGAGCTCTATAGTATGGGCAAGCTTGGTTGTGCTGAGTTGGACTAGTAGATGAGTCAGCTAGCGAGTTTTGAGAAAAGGTGCTTGATGATTGAGTGATGTCTAGGGTTGTTGGTGAATAATGTTGAGCCTTGGATTGCTTGTAAGAGAAGGTGAATGAGCTAAGGGTGGGGAGAAGATAACCACAGTGGTCAGCTGATCACAATAGTGTGAATTGGGGGGCTCTCTATGTAGACACTTTTTTATAGTTAGACCTGGATATAAGAGGATGAAGACTCCAACCTCAAGTGAAGGTGAGTCATTATCATAATGAACTTACTAAAAGATCATCCAACTATTTCTTAGAAATACTGAGGTCAAAATAATTCGTTGTTGTAAGCAACATTGGATGTGAAACCTTAATAAGCTACTATGGAGACTAAATGTGCAAACCATGAAAACGTATGGTGATCCTACCTCACATGGATGGAAGTTAGTGTAATAGAGATTTAATGGGATGAATGATCATTCCATTGGGCTACATTTCATTTAGTTGAGAAAACGTACAATTTTATAGTCTAAGTTAGGAATTGAAACACATTATGCAAGTGGTGAAAAGTCAAGTTTAAATCATATGCTATATCAATAATATGATTTATCATGTGACATCCTACTATTAAATTTATATGATGTCATGACCCAAAATGACACAACCCTTATATTGAACGGGTCATGTTTATGTTGGATGTGCCACAATTAATACCTAATATCTATTTATAATAATTTTTTCATAATAAAACAAAGCCACTAGTATCATTAAAAATATAATAAATAAAACCATTAATATCTTTTTTGTTTATGCACATGACTATAGAATAAAAAATATTTATTTTTAACAATCATGGTACACCTATCTCTATCCATTATCATATAATATCACCATGCTTGCAAAAAAAACATACAATAAACTAAAATTATAAATACTTAAAAAAATGAATCTATCACAGCTATCCCTACTCAACCTATTCCATTTTTTTCTTTTTATGTTCTCAAATTAACATATGTAAATAAAATATGAATGAACATCAACCCTCACTAAGTTACCTAAAAACTACCCAAGTTTCCAATGCACAAAAATAAAGCCTTCTAATATGTTAATAATTATTTAGACCCTTCTCTCTCTCTCTCTCTCTCTCTCTCTCTCTCTCTCTCTCTCTCTCTCTCTCTCTCTCTCTCTCTCTCTCTCTCTCTCTTTCTCTCTCTCTCATATATATATATTTACATAACTCACAAAAACTTATAGATCACATAGTATTTTCTTACATACATGCTTTATAATATATTGATACAACTAAAATGTCATTTACATAAATTTGAGTAATTTGCATAAGTATATGGCATTGTATAATAATTTACAAATAAAAAATAGGAAAATTTACATATTTTACTAATATACAACTTAATGTACATAAATCATAAAACATGATTACATACAATATTTACAACATTCTAAAAGTGCTCTAAGTGCATTTCAAATAATTTTATGCAATTTTAAAAATTTATAAAAATACCCAAAATATCACATAATCTCAAATACATGGTTAAAATTAAAAATAAGTACACATATATACAAAATGACTAGAGTAACAACATAACAAATGTTACACAATAAAAACTTCAAATAATCTGAAGACCCAGCAAATGAAAATATTTATAAAGAATGTTCAATTTAAATGCATTAATTCAAAAAAAATTTAAAAAATTAAAGTTAGGTGAATGAAGCTAGGGGTGTCAATTTTTGACACAAAAATGACCTGAAAGTGACACGAAAAAATCCGGGTTCGGGTCAACCCGAACCCGAAACGGGTCGGGTTCGGGTTGACCCACCTACCCGAAATTGACACAAAAATGACCTGAAAGTGACACGAAAACTCATATTTGACCCGAAAACCTGAGGTTGACCCGTTTTGACCCGATTTTGACTCGATTTTGACCCAAAAATCGAATATTGACCCGATTTTGACCCTAAAACTTCGGGTCATTCGTGTCGGGTCGGGTTCGGGTCAGAAAACCTGACCTGTTTTTAAAAACGGGTCGGGTTCGGGTTGACCCGAACAGTGCCGGGTCAGTTCCGGGTTCGACCCGAACCCAACCCGCTGACCCGAATTGACACCCCTAAATGAAGCCTACCTTTAGTCGAATAAATTTCTCATTTGGCCCAACAAAAGAAAATAGTCTGAAGACCTGAAAAAGACATTCTCTCTGTAAAATATCTCTTTTTTATTGTCCTTTCTCTCGCAAGCCTCTCCAAATTTGGAACGAAGAAAATGACACAAAATTAGTTATATTAGTGGAATTATATATTTATAAGATTTTTTCAACTAATTAAATTAAGAACATAATGGTATTTATTGAAATTATTTAATTTTAAATATAAATTTAAAAAAATGCATTTATAAATCATAATCTTGAGCTCTAAAAATTATGAAAAAAAAATCTATAAAATATAATTGCATTATGTCTAAATACTCTGGTAAAAATAATATGCAAAAATAGTTATAACGGCTCCAAAATATTTTGAATGTTATCGATCAAATATTTTTAAATAAAAAGATAATTGTATTGCTATCTTTTGACATTTTTTATAATTATTTAAATATTCAACACATTTTAAAATATGTTTAAGAGCTATCTTAAGCACTTTATTAATCCAACATGTATTGGTATTGAAAAAAATCAAAACATCAAACATTTAGAGGATATTACTAAAATTTTACTAGATAAAATTGTATTGGCATATATTACATATGATGAGTTTATGGACATAACACTATCTAGAATAGGGCTTCATTTGGGACGGCTTTCTTCATGCTTCTTAAAGCAGTTTTTTAATACAAAATAAAAAAATTTGTACTAGAAAGCTACTTTAAGAAGCATAAAGAAAGTCGTCTCAAACGAAGCCTAAATTGACAACAAATATAACATCGATTTGAGTATTCTTTACATTGCAGTCTGTCACAAGATCAATTTTAATTTCACATGCATAAGCTGCCTAATAAAAGAATTATAGAACTTGAAAAATAATAGATAACATTCATGTTTGGATTGGATGACCTCTTTTCTATTTTTATCTAATATGTCTTCTATGTAATTTATTATTTTCTTCTAAAAATACTTTGTAAATATGAAAATATAGAACCACACTATATATATATATATATTTATCATGTCATAAATACATTATAAATTTTAGATAATAGAAAAACCAGTGCTTTAGTTTATATCTATGTGGTATAACATCAAATCCTGTGTGTAATGATCTAAGGCTCATAGTATACGTTTTCATAGCCCATCCTTTAATGCTAGTTAGCCTCACATTGAATTTAGTATTTAATTGACATTGACATTTTTCAAATATGTACTTCTCTTTCATCTCTCCTCACTTTTCTCTCTAAATTTTTTAAATAGCTCTCTATTGCCTAATATTAAGAGGATGACGAGTATGAGGTTGGTCAAGATTCTTCCGGTTCTATTCATTTTTGTTTTGGTTATTTTTTTGTACTCAAGACAGAGTAGTTATAACATGATTGTATAGATCTTGAGTAGTGTATATGATTTTTAAGAATTGAAAACAGATGTATATATATTGATGTTTTGATTGATAGTTTTATTTATGTTGCTATTCGATATTGATAAACGAAATTAGATAATTTTGGTGGTTGTTTATTAAAAGATAAAAAAATAATTCATCCAATTAGATTTTGGGCATCACATTCTGATCTGATCGCAACGAAGAAATTGACAAGACGAAAAACAAAATGCTATGGAGAGGATAGATATAGTTACCTTAGCCGCAAGCTCCGACCTGTACTTTTGATCTCAATAGTGAAGAAGAAATGGAGTAGACAAAAAACAACCTGTGAAACTGAAGAAGATGCAAATAGTCAGGATAATAGGGGGTTTTCCTTTGCGGCGAGCTCCGCTCTACACTTCCGATCCGATAGCAATGAAGAAAAAGGAGAATATGAAAAACAAACCGTGAAACCGAAGAAGATGCTAGGGGTGGAGCAGATAGGGGTTTTGTCGTCGCGGCGAGCTCCATCCTATACTTATGATCTGATAGCACCGAAGAAGTGAAGAAGTTGATGAGCAAACTTGCTCTCACTACGAAGACGCTACGGATCGGACAGATAGGCTAATGGTGTGATCATTAGATGTATTTGAGTAATTTGGTGGTTGGTATATGAATAATATATTTTGGATGTTATATATATATTCTCTTGAGTTAACTCCACTTGCAGTCAAACAGCCCCTTAATATTTAATAATTTTAATGTTTCACTGATAAAAAAATATCTCCCATCTCGTTGGTTCTTCTTCCTTGCAAAGCTCTCGAATACAACTTCCCTATTGCCACAAAGCCATAGAACCCTCTCTCTGTTTTATGGGCAAGCTCTCTTCTTTCCTCTTCCTTTTCTTCCTTTTCACCTCCTTATGCGCCGCCGGCGAGATCGCCGACGACCTCAGCCTTCCCATTGACGTTGGCTTCCCGGCTTTCACTGCCAAGAAACTCATCCGCGCGCTCAACCTCGTCCCCAAGGATCTTTCTCCCGATCACGCAACTGCTGCCGATGTCTTACCGGGTTCGATCATCGAGAGGCCGCTCCGACTTTCGGGCTTCTCGAATGAGAGCTCCGTCGAGGATCTAGGGCACCATGCCGGTTATTACCGCCTCCCCCACTCTCATGACGCCAGGTAGCTAGTGTTTATTGGGTTTAGTGTTTCCGCATGTGTTTTTTTCTTAATTTTTTGTATTAACCTATTCTATTGGAGAATTTGATTGTTGATTGGTTGTTTTTAGGCTGTTCTACTTTTTCTTTGAGTCGAGGCAGAGTAAGAATGACCCTGTTGTTATTTGGTTGACGGGTGGACCGGGTTGCAGCAGCGAATTAGCTGTTTTCTATGAGAATGGACCTTATAAAATAGCTGACAACTTGTCATTGGAGTGGAACGAATTTGGTTGGGATAAGGTATTACTGAGCTCTCTCTATTTCCTTACATAAATTTTAACTCTACTGTTATGCTTTTTATTCCTGCTGGAAATATTACTTTATTGCGAGTTTATATTGGAATATTATTACCGAAGATTGATTCTATTAGTGATTACAAGTTGACTTTCTCTTCTTGAAGAAGAAGTTATTTGAAGGAGCTTAATGTAAGATAATGAGATATTTTATGGATTTTTTCTTGGAGTTAGTTCTAATGAAATTGCCTGAAAGTAAACGTTTAGGTCTAGATGATATTCATATTGAGATTTGGAGAGTTATGAGAGATATTGCATTAGCTTGGGTGACAATTTATTTTTAACATAATTTTTGAAGATTAAGTAGGTGTCAAATGGTTGGAGAAAAAATAATTTGGTACTAAGGGAGATGTTCAAAATTGTTTTAATTATGGAGGATTTAAATTTAGGAGACATACAATGAAGCTATGTGGCTATAGTGATGCTTACAATAGATATTCAAAGCGAGGTGCATTAGTGTATATTTTTAGCATATGACATAATTGTGATATGTGAGATATTTATTGAAATAAGTGAAAAGTTAGAGTAATTGACAAAACGTGTAGAAGACAATTAACTTGAAATTAGTAGGTTAAAATTTGAGTATATGGTAATCAATTTGAGTGAATGTGATATTATCAATCAATATTATTAAAAAGATGCAATAATACGTAGATGTAATGGGTTGGAGTATATTGGATCAATTATATAGAAATTATGTCATACATTGGAATATAACTTCTACAGTTAAGTCTAGGTGATCAAAATAGACAAATGCATTAGGAGTATTATTCGATAAGGGGATATATTGTTGATTTAAAGGTAAATAAAATTAACTATAAGTAAATTGGTGATGTTTTATGGATTCCAATGTCGGGAAACCAAAAATTGGTTGCTAGCTAAGTAGAATGTGATAGAAAAGAGAACATTAAAATGATGTTTGATAACATTTGGAAAAATAAAATAAGGAATAATTGTATTAGAGGAATGTTGGAGTGACATATATTTCAACAACAACAACAATAAGCCTTTATCGCACTATGTGGGGTTAGCTACATGAATCTTTTTTTTTTTTTCCGTTGTGTCTTGTTAAGTGTCAAATTCTCATCTAAATCTAATAAGGAAAGGTTATTTCTAATATTTTCTAACCAAGTCTATTTAGGTCTACCTCTACCTTTCTTAACATAACTCAAATCTAATACATCTACTTTTCTAACCGAGTCATCGGAAGGTTGCTGTTTTATGTGACCAAACAATCTAAGGCGTCTCTCTATTGTATTATCTTCCACTGGAGCTACTCTAACCTTTTCACGTGTATGCTCATTTCGTATCCCCTCATTTTGTATCCTGTCTTTAAGTGTAAAGCTACTCATCCACTAGAGCATCCTCATCTCTGTAACACTTAACTTAATATTATGCTTCTCATTTAATGGCCAACATTCTGCACCAGAAAACATTGCAGGTCTCACTACCATCTTATAGAATTTTCCCCTTAAGTTTGAGAGAGACATTTCTATCACACAACAAGCATGATGCATTCCTCCACTTCAACTGTCCAACTTGAATTCTACTAATAATATCCCCATCTATTTCACCATCACTCTGAACAATAAACCCAATATATCTAAAACGAGTGCTCTTATTAATGACTTGATCACCCAAAGTCACAATCCCTCCACTAGGTCTTTTATTACTAAAATTACAGTCCATATATTTAGTTTTAGATCTACACAACCGAAAGCCTTTAGACTCTAAGGTTGACATCCATAATTCAAGTTTACCTTCATATCCCTCTCTAATATTATCAACAAGAAGAATATCATTAGCGAAAAGCATACACCAGGGTACAACCTTGTTCAAATAAAATTATACAAAAAATAAAAAGAGAATGCTTGAAGATGTCTCAAGGGTCTTACAATTATGAAGAGGACAAGAAGAAGTGATCTTTATGTTCTCTTAAGTGTTGATAGCAACCAAGGACATGTTATCGATAAAACCAGGAATTGGCTGCTAACAAATATAGTTCCACATTGAACATGATCATTTGAGATGGAATTCAAGTGCAGAACCCCTCTGTTCCCTTGAGCCCCACCCCAAAAGGGGCGGAATTCAATTGGGCAGAACCCCTTTGTTCTGCCTGCTGTAAGATTTGGCCGGTCGAGGAAGGATCGACCCAACCTTGACTAGTCTAGGATGGATCGATCCATTAGATTTGCACTTTTCAATAGGTGATCTAGTTATGGTCAAATTACAACCATTTTGATAAAATTCTATCATTAACCGTACCCATTCTAAATTCGCTAAGAGATATTTTGGCCCTTTCACAATTCAACAGCATTGTAGTCTATCGCTTACAACTACATCCGGATAGTAAAATTTATCTTGTTTTTCATCTCTCTTCTGAAACCTTTTAAAGCTTCCCCTCCATTAGCCCCTTCACCACTACAAAATTTTAGTTATAACAACCAATCCTTTCTTTTGCCATATGTTATTATATCTTCACGCATATTATACAACTCTGTGGTCTACCCCATTGCCAATACCTGTACAATGAAAATTAAATTTACCTGATGATTAGATCAGAGTCATGCTTTTATCTATTCTTTAGGAAATTACAGTTTCTTTTTATCCATTTTTTATGTTATACTGTCTTTATGCAAAGAAGCTGTGACGCCTAATTCAAGCCCCTGTTAAGTATGCATATATCGATCAGATAATTTAATGAACTTATCTTTCATGCAGGCTTCCAATCTTATATATGTTGATCAGCCTACTGGAACTGGGTTTAGCTACAGCTCAGACAAACGTGATATTCAACACGATGAAGCTGGTGTTAGTGGTGATCTGTATGATTTCTTACAGGTATGGGCTGTTAATGGTGCAATATTGCTATTGTGTTCCTTCAGTCAATGAGCTTGTACGGTGCTTATTACTGCTTGATGATCAACAAATTATTTATAGGAATCTGCTTTTTTTCTTGTTCTTCTTTGGGCGATAACTTTTCACATGTGACAAGTGTGTTCCTATGCCTGAAGCCTGACCTAGGATAATAAAGAGAAGTCATGGGAGAGTGATAGAACGAGTTGCTAGAAAGCGATTGAGAGAAGGTTGGCTGGTGGCTTTGAAAAAAAAGATTGTGAAATATTACTCAAGGCTCAATCATTTAAGCTCTTTTAATACAAGATTGGAGGCCCTATTACAGACCAAGACACACACTAATTGCTTAGAAATATATGAAGACGAATATGGAAGGAGGTATAAAAACATATGTAAAACATGTTACATGTAATGGTCATATCCGGGTCATGATAATTATGCTAATAATTAATTAAAATAAAATAAATACAAGAAAAACATAGACTCATGGCCACTTTCATTACATGAATTCCCTTGGTTGCGAAGAATGCTATTCCAAAAAGTTTAAAGATTACCGGTAGGAGAATTGGAACTCTTCACTTGTGATTTATAGAGCTAACAAAATTCATCATGGGCATCAGAGATGAGACCATCTTAGAGATGAGGTGATGAATTGGAAATCCATCTAGATGAAGAGAGGCGAAGGGCGAGAACATCATTATATCCATCATATCAATAGAAGATTGTTATCCTTAGAAAGATATGTGGAAGCTTTTGTGGTTTTCATGCATGTGATTAAACTAACTCTAGCTTATTGAAGAGCTAACTGACCGAAATTTATTTTTTTACTATTGGGTTAAGTTGTTTGGGTTTTGATGGATTTGTCATTTGCAAAGATATGATTTAGGTGAGTAGGATGACATGATGCTAAGTGGAGAGATGGGCTTAACATTTGTTATTAGCTAGTAGATAATGCAGTTGGCATGAGCGAGCAGGCACGGATGCGAAAGAGGACGCAAAGAAGCACCGAGTGTGTGTTTGTTAGTGAAACACATAAGGGCATATGGGGCGTGGGGATAGAGGTCAGACTTGCGGTAGTCATGTGCAATAGTTTTGTTGAAAGGAAGACATTGACCATTCATAATATGGAATAGTTTCAAGAGCAGGATGTAAATACATGCCAACGAATGAAAAAAAGAAGATCACAAGCTCCCATTGCATGGGATGTAGATGAGTTGTAGGTCGAGGTGGAGCAGTGCAATGTGATCGTGAGCAGTTGCAAGCGAGTTTGCTGGTGGATGCACTAGTGGAAAGGATGTAGAGAAGACTCAGTAGGGGTTAAGATCTTAGGAAAGATAGTTGCGAGCCTGAGGTGAGTGAGCGCATGCTATTAGGGGCTACGCATGATTTGTGATTTCATGTGGGATGATGACATTTAAGGTTGGAAGTGATGTCAAGAGCGACGATGAAATTGCAGGGAAGAAGCTTTGGGTTGTCAGGCTTGGACTTTCATGCATAAGCAGGTTAAGCAAGGTGGGCTTGGCAAGGATTTTGTATAGGAAGTCGTGCATTGAAAACGTAATTGCTAGGGCCCTATGTTTGCATTCAAGATGGAGATTAGCAGGGATATTAGGTTTGTTCTAGTACCACATAATGAAGAGAAGGAAAATATAGATAGAGAGAAAAGGAGATGCAAAATAGAGATATAGAAGTTTAGTCAATGGCTTAACGATAGGATCTTAAAAAATTATTCAATACTCATTCAATCAAGTTTTTTCAATAAAAGACTAGAATCTTTTTTATAAACTTAGGGTTTACAATACTTTAATAATAACATTTTAACTATTAAGGCCTACTTGTCAATGGCGCAAAATGGTGCTGCGCATTCAAGTTGGCGCACACAATGGCGCATGGCACATGCAATTTGAATTTTAGAGATTTTTAAATATAATTATAAATAATTATAAATATTTATATATTTTAATTTCTAAAATAATGTAATAATTAATTTTAAAATTATTTGATATGATTAAAATAGTTTAGTTAGGTTTTATTAGACTTTATTTAGACTTTATTTTAGTAGAAAGTTTGGACGAAGTTGAATCTCACTATAATGGTTTGGATTTTGGACCACAAACATATTCATCTAAGCCTTACCCGACTTGATTGATACTCTAAAATAGAATCTATATAAAGATTTTAATAATTTTTTTTTTAAATTTTGTGCCGTATTCAAAATAGCACAAGCCACGCCGTGCGTTATACGCCATGGCTCAATGGGAAACTTTGCGCCTTGCTGTGCCATTCGCCGAGTATGTGTTATGGAAATAAATCATGTGTGTGTAGAATATTTAAAGCATCAAAACATGTTAAAGTATACCACATATGCTATATACTAATTTGGTAAAGAATCTTGACGATCATATTTATTCAGCTTCATTCACTTGAGTTGAAAGAAGCTCTTCTCTAAAGTGTTAAGAGGTGACCATTTTAGTTGTGGGGTTGACAAATTTGTGTACAACTCTAAGCATGCCCATCAGTATGAAGAAAGTGTGGTTTTGTGATGGTGGTCAACAACTTGGATGCACGTACACAGATATGGTGATACTGACACGGGACAAATTAGTTATTGAAAATTTAAGACACAAATATAACTTGCACACAACATTATAATTTTATATCTTAAAAACAGTGCATTAAAATTAAATAGCACAATATTAAGAATAATAAAGAAATGATAAATCATTAAACTCTAACATTAATTTTGTAAAGTTGAATGGCCTATAAATAGTAATCTAGCTTTTGATATAAAAAAATAAGCATAAATGGTCTAGAACACATCAAGATTCAATATTCAATAGTCAACTATTCACTAAAATGATTAATAAGATTAACTTTTTCATCATATATATTTTCTTTTTGTCTTTAATATCACGATCATTAAATAACATTGCTCTCCAACTATGGCTCATGAAGAGAAAGATTTGTAATTTTCAAAAAAATCATATCATCATGGGACTCAAAGCCATATTCAGAAACATTTATCAATTTCTATCGCCTTCCATATAATTTGTGAGCTTTCTTGAAAGAAGATGAATGTTTGTATACACATAAAATACATCTTCAACCCATTGTGGATTAATTTTATTTTTCTTCATTGATTAAATGAAGGAGTATATTCTCCAATTTCTTTATCAACAAGAGGATGAAACTTGGCAAAAAAATTTTTATGTCAATTATTTGAAGTACATATACTGAAGAATTTTGAATCAACTGCCATATTTTTTTATTCATGCTCCACCTAAGGCGCATAGATTGTTGATCTTTGAAATCTAATGAAGTGCATACGAAGAGGAGAAATCATCTGACAATTCTAAGGATGAATTCCTCGGTGTAAACCGTGTCCAACAATACACTCATGGACAAAAATGTGAAGTAGAAAGGGTTGAATGATGATGACTCTTATTCTGTTAGGATATGACATCAAATAATGAGTGATTTGTGGGCAATAAAGTGGGAGGTAATACCATTTGAATTCCAAGATGAAGATTTGAACATTGATTTGTTTTTTTTTTTTTTATGGTGGCAGGAACAAAGCTTTTGCATCCTCCACAAGCTGACTGCAAAAAGAATTAAAGAGAAAAGGCATATAAAAAATTTATTTTTGTAAGCTTCTTTAATTTGGAGTAGTACTCTCATCTTTATGTTGATGACAAATATTTAGAGAAGAGGAAGATAACTAAAATAGATGAAGAAGTAAATTTGGAGGCATTCAATTGCATAGGTGATGAGGTAGGGGAGAAAGCAATTCATTATGAAGATGACTCAAATGAAAATCCCCTCAATGATGCTTTCAGCTCAATGATGACAATGAATATGACTTATGAATTGTTGTCATACTATTACTATTTTCCGTAAAAATTAAATGTGGATGAGTAAGGAACTAGGAAAGAAGAAACTTGGAATTGAACTTGATATCATACGTTACTTTTACACAATTCTTATACTTTATGTTCTTTTGCCTTTATGATATTTACATTTCAATTCTATTTCATGCAATTTATCATTTTATGCTTATGTCTTATGTAATGTTTTGTTTTATATGTACGTCAATTTATTACTTCATAGTACAATAAAATATTAACATGTCATCCTTTTTATATATTATTTAGTTATTATACAAAAATATCACTTCTAACCTTCATTTTCGCTTTACATATTTTTTGAATTTTGAGGCTTACATCTCAAAACTCCTTGAGACTTACGCATCGCATCACAGATGAAAAATACTCAATACCAGATTGTGCAGTTTTAAACATTGCTTCACACTATATCTTGCTTCCTAGTGTCTGCCTCCTGATCTGTAGTTGGTCACTCAATCTCACAAATATATTCTTGATTTTTAAGCATTTTTGCATCACTTCATTATTCTGTGAAAAGGTTATTCCCTGATATGATTTAAAATTTTTAATTAAACAGCTATTGTGTGCACATAATATATATGTATATGATATAAAACTCATGAACACTTAGTAAAAGCGTAACTTCACTTTTCACATTGTAGCAAAAAAAAAAAAAAAAAACCACCCATTGAGCTTCATGCTTGGAATACGCTGGGTGATTTGTTAAATGACCTTTAAATGACCTTGATATTTTGCCCACTTTTTAAGCTGCATGTTGATATAATCTAATGTATGATACCACTTTAATGTAGTATGGTTAAGGGTCTAGGATTTGTTAATATAACCAAGGATGAGATACAAAATGAAAACACACAAAAATAAGAGGTTAGCAGCTATTAGTTCTTGCAAAAATTAGTCACTTTTAATGTAAAAATAACGAACACTCTTCTCTCATTTCAAATAATAATTTATTAATTACCAAAATCTGAAATTCAAGAAAAATTGTGAAGAATTATGAAATTCGATCAACGATCAATTTCACACATAGAAATTTAAATTATTGGAGACCATAGTCTTAAAAAGAAGACAACATATTGGAGATCATAGGCCGTTCTCAGTGGAATCAACATCATAGGAGCACATAAGCTGAAAGTAAGAATGTAAGATACGTTGTAAACTAAGACATTATGCAATTTGAAGTTAAGTTTTTGTGATTATACACTCATATTTCCATCACTTAATCACTGACATACCTTAATAAATTTTTAGAATAGATAAAATGTAGATCACTTCTTATATTGACTGTATGGCGGACTTTGCTTGTGAATGAGAACCTAGAGGGTTTAATTTGCGCTTTTGATTAGGCGTCCTCCCTTATTTGATACTTTGGCACACCTTTTCTAGACAATGGATGCTTGTTAGGCAGAAATAGCCACATTATTTCATGATTCCTCATATATCTATGTTTCTACAGAAATTGATGCAGAGTGGTTTGTATGCTATAACAATCAGTAGAAAAACTTTAGAAATCGAAATCATTAATTATAATGTAAAAAATTTCACTAATAAATAACCATTTCTTGTCTTCTATCTCTAACATGTTAAGTAAATCTGCCTTGCTTATTCAAAATTTTTGTTTTTCTTCAGGCATTTTTCTCTCAACATCCAGAGTATGTGAATAATGACTTCTACATCACGGGGGAATCATATGCTGGGCATTACATTCCTGCTTTTGCTAGCCGTGTTCACCAGGGAAACAAAGCTAAAGAAGGCATCTACATTAATTTGAAGGTGCAACTTAGTCTTCTTTTCTTGAAGCAACCTGTTGATTGATTTGTTGATTTTACTTGCTTGGGCTTGATAACGCAGGGATTTGCAATTGGTAATGGACTTACTGATCCTGCCATCCAGTACAAAGCTTACCCGGATTATGCATTGGAAATGGGAATAATAAAAGAGTCAGACTATAAAAGACTCAACAAAATAGTTCCAGTTTGTGAGGTGGCCATTAAGCTCTGTGGTAATGTAGCTAACTGAACCTTGTAGAAATTCAAATTTAAATTTGATGCTCATTTATAATAATCTAATTTGCATCAAAATTTTAAACATATTTTTATCCAAGAAGATTATTAAAATAAATTGGTGTTTACATATAAACTATCTGTTTTGAATTTTGGGAGTATCTTCAAAAAATAAAAATTGAGCTATGCCATAATTATAGTCTCTTAGTTGGGATCAAAAATTTTTTTATTGTTGCAATAATAAATATGCACATAACCAAATAATTGATATTTATGGGCCAAAACATAAAAGTAAAAAAAAAAAGACGACGAGCAAGTGCTATTTTGATGTAAGTCCAGTCCGATGAATGCTCATAGCCAAGCCTTATTTCAAAATACGATGATTAGAACCACTGAATTTGGTTGCTAAAGCTGAAAATGATTGAGTAAAAATCATTAAGCTAAAGGAAATAAGGCCAATAGCATCTTAATATATACAAAAGGATGGGCTAAGACTAATTGGTCAGATATTGGCACAACTTCAACTAACAGCAAATGCATTTCTTAAAATTAGCTGACAAATTGCTGTTGTTGACACTACTAATGACAATTTTAACTTCTGAAGTCTTATACTTAAATTAAAACATTGCTCAACTCATACATTCTTGAAATAAGCACAATTCTCTAGTAGTCATGACTCCTATTTCAACATTGAAATGGTTGGTTTGAGATTCCATACCTCATATGTTTGGATGAAATTTAAAGTATTGATAATTTCTTACTATAATTGTTAGGAGTGAAACGTGAAAGCAGTGGATTAATTTTGTTGCTAGGTAAAGAATGGCAAAATGAGGCAACTCTTATAGATTGTGCTTAATACATTCAATATAACTCCAGAACTGAACGAAAAAAAAAATGATGATTGGCATCAAATGGAAAGATCACAATCATCTTCTGTTGCTTGGAAAGCAAACACGGACTCAGTTGTTCAATGATCTTCTTGTAATAGTGAAGCTGATCTGCTTCAACAATTCAATTGTGAGTTTGATCAAGAAATAAGAATAATCGTGCACAACTTTATGTTCGTTTAAAGCTTGAGCTTGATTTTGTGCTGATACTCAAGACATCCAAACTAGAGTTGCCAAATATAACTGATAAAGGTTTACGAATAAAACTGATGAATATATATATGCATCATAAATAAAAATATATTACACCCCATGTTGGCAGTAATCCAAATCCCGTCAACCACGTCCTCACCTTCATCAACACGTTCGTGAAATAATTATGTGTATAAAGACATTGAGAAACAGAAAGAGGAGACACACGATTTCCATTTTCTTTGGCTCTCGGTTTTGCTTACTGTTCTGGTCTCCCGTTCAACTCTCTTGCAATCCTCATTTCCGGGACCAAACAACGTCCCGAAGTCCTCGGCCGTTGAATCCTATCCTATTGGTAGGTTTGAAAGGGCGAGTGCCCTCCGTCCCATCGCAGGGAGGGGACGCCGGGAGGCAGCCGAAATTCCCTCAAAATAATTAGACTTTGTGGATTTTGGAAAAGATTAAAAAATGCTCAATTTATCAATTTGATTTAAAATTGATTAATTAATAGTATTAAATTAACTAATATATTAAAAATGACCAAACAACTAATTGGTTAATTTTAAATAAAATCAAAATCCATTCAATTAACTAAAATTCAACCTAATTGATTAATAACCCCTTTGAAATAAAATTGAACTGAGTTAATTAAGGAAAATTAATTTAAAAATAAAACCAAATTTCTAATAATTGATTTAGCTAATAAGAAAAAAAAAACAAAATACAGAGACTAAAAAAATTAAATTTAAACTTGAAATTCTAAGTTATAATTTAAATTGATCTGATTAATTTCAAATTAGATCTCTAATAGTTCATTTAAAACAAATTCAAAAGCTAACTTAATCAATTAAGTAATTTATTCTAAAATTGAAGTTCACTATTGAATTATTAAACAATTGATTAACTTAAAATGTAACTAAATTAATTTCAAATCAAAACTTTAAATTTTATTTTAAATTAAAAAAAATTAATTAAGCAATAAATTTTAATTTTAAATTTAAATCAAATTAATTGAGCAATCAATTTAAATAATTAAATAATTTTAAAATACATTTAACATTAAAAAATTTAAAATAATGAATTGAATATGTTAACTTTAATTAAATTAAAATTTAATTAATTAATGTAATTAATTCAATTAAATAAAATAAAATGCATAAATAAATGTTTCAAGTAGTTGACTATGTGCATCATACGCTAAAACTCAAACTCCTAAAAAAAAACAAAAAGAATGCTCCAAAAATCCTCTCTAAACCACTTTGTGTCTGCAAACTACAGCCCTTGCTGTTGCAAGCTCCAGCTATTATAACTACTGGTCACGAGCACCTGCAAATAAGTAGACAAAAGCCAACACATAATAAATGAAATTTGTGCTGAAAGGAATAAAGTTAAGTACTACAGGCATAACTAGTGCTAAAAAGTAAAACTAGCAAGTAAAGCTAACTATTGTAGATAGAACAAAGTGCTGGAAAGCGGGTAAAAAACAAACAGTAGTGTTAAAGTGTAGTGACAAACTATTGTAGTAGAAAAAGCTATGAGTACAAAACAACAAGTACACCGATAAAAGCTAAAGTAGAAAATAACTAATAGCTAGTAAGTGTTAAAACAATGAATGCATGCTAGTATTGAAGCAAAACTGGCAAAACAAGGCGCTGACATTGGCGTCAAAACTGTGAAGTGTGTAAAACTAAATCTCTATTAATCCGTCAACTTTTAATGAAAAACGTAAGTCCGACTTTAGGGAGAATCTTTAGGCAAAAATTACATAACTCATAATCTCTGATTGACAGACCGACAACTTCTAATAGAAGCCGTAAGTCCGACTTCTGAGGAAAATGGTTATGTAATAACATAACCCTTACCCCTCAGATGGGCATCCTAGTTTATAGGGCTAGGTTGTAAGACTCACCGTACGGGCCATTTAGCTTACATGGCTAGGTCGTAAGACTCGTCGTCAGGCAACGTCTAAATTCAGAAGTCATAAGACCTACTTGAACATCCAAAATCATTGGACATCTTAGTCTATAGGGCTAAGTTGTAAGGCTCGCTGTTTGGGCACCTCTAATAGAAGTCGTAAGACCTACTATTAGGGTTACCTTCAAATAAAAATCGTAAGTCCCTACCCAAATCCAATCACAAAGATAACTCTTAAGCAGAGTCATAAGCCCTAACCCAAACCAAACCAGATTAAAATCCACATTTCTCAACTTCAGTTTACCTGGGATCCATGAGAGGAGGTAACCAATGGCTGCCAATCAGATTCTCTGGACACTACAATTAATAGTTGTTAATGTTGGTAGATTGAAACTCACAGTGTACCCAGGACGAAGGAACCATGAGATCTTGATTGAGTGTACTTTCATCCCACATAATTAAGATTAGCCCCCATAAATAAGATTAACCCCCATAACTAAGATTAAAATACTGTTGCACATTTCTACACTCCTTGCACATACTAAATATAATTTTATCTTTAATCAAGAGTATTCTTCTAATAAGTTAGAAGGGGTAATTAACTGAGGGCTTGCACTCATAGGAAGTAGGACCTAGATCTATATAAACCCTGACATTATTGGTCCTATTCTTCTTGGGCGAACATATATGCTTGTAGAAATTAACTATGCGACACCTCTAAGTTATGCATGGAGATTTATAGTGACTTTTTATAAGCACATCTTTTTAATTTTTAGATCCTTTAATTTGTTCAATTGTAAGGCTCCCTCTTTAACTCACCTTGGATTAAATGATATTTAAATTGAATATGCAATGTTTTGAAATGGAACACAACTTTTTTAGTTGGATGCATAAATTCTGACCATCATAAAAATAATAGTTACCTATGCTGCACATATATGGACACATCGACATTGACACCATATGACACGGGATCCATCAATTATTGAAATATAGGACATAGATACGAGTTAGACACAACATTATAATTTTATATTCTAAAAATAATGCTAAAAATTAAGTATAATACTAAAAATAAATTAGAAATAATAATACTTAAAATGATTAATATTAGGATGTCGAGAGTCGTGCGTTGATGTCATGTATTAGGCATCGATAAAGGAGATTTTTAAGTTTAAATTTAAATCAAATTAATTGAGTTATCAATTTAAATAAGTAAATAATTTTAAAATACATTTAACATTAAAAAACTTAAAATAATGAATTGAATATGTTAACTTTAATTAAATTAAAATTTAATTAATTAATGTAATTAATAAAATAAAATAAAATAAAATGCATAAATAAATGTTTCAAATAGTTGACTATGTGCATCTCACACTAAAACTCAAACTCCTAAAAAATTAACCAAAACAAAAAACAAAAAGAAATGCTCCAAAAATCCTATCTAAACTACTATGTATCTGCAAACTACAGCCCTTGCGGTTGCAAGCTCCAGCTACCATAACTATTGGCCACGAGCACCTACAAATAAGGAGACAAAAGCCAGCACATAATAAATGAAATTTGTGCTGAAAGGAGTAAAGTTAAGTATTGCAGGCATAATTAGTGCTAAAAAGTAGAAGTAGCAAGTAAAGCTAACTACTGTAGATAGAACAAAGTGCTGGAAAGCAGGTAAAGAACAAACAATAGTGTTAAAGTGGATTGACAAACTACTATAGTAGAAAAAGCTATGAGTACAAAACAACAAATACACTGATAAAAGCTAAAGTAGAAAATAACTACTAGCTAGTAAGTGTTAAAACAATGGCTGCAGACTAGTATTGAAGCAAAAATGGCAAAACAAGGCGTTGATGTTGGCGTCCAAACTGTGAAGTGTGTAAAACTAAATTCCTGTTAATTCGTCAACTTTTAATGAAAAACGTAAGTTCGACTTTAGGGGGAATCTTAAGGCAAAAATGACATAACTCCTAATCTCTGATTGACAGACCGGCAACTTCTAATAGAAGTCGTAAGTATCTAGCATCAATGTCAAGAGGGCGTCCGTCGTCGATGTTGAGAGGGTGTTGGTCGTCGATGTTAAGACGACACTAGACAAAGATGAGTTGTCAAGTTGTGGGTGTATAAATTGATTGCATCGAGCATCAATGTTAGGACAATATCAGACTTTGGTGTTGAGATGGTTTTGAAATGTTGATGTTGTAACGACGTTAGACATTTATGTTGGGATAACATCAGAATTGTTGTGAAGGCAAAGTTACGACCCGCTAAAGAGAAATGAAATAAGAATATTCGATGAATTGGGTATTGAGTGTGGACGATTGATTTAGAGTTGTGGATAAGAAAAAAAAAATTTAGTTTTATATTTTAAATAAATAATAATTTAAAATACGAGAAATTTTATTTAAAAAAAATTATAAAATATTTAATACGCATGTCCGATTTGTATTTAATATTTTTATAGTTGGACACATTTTCGGTGTGTCTGACACGTGTCAGATGCATGTAGTGTCGGATATGTGTCGGCATTCCACGGCTCTTTAAGGAGAAGTGTCGGTACATCATAAATTGTCACCCTCTTATTTTCCTAACTGTTTCAAAAAATTCTTCAGCCGCTTTATTTCTTTGCCTGCCTCAATTTTTGCAACGCATCTTACTGCTGTGGTAGCCAAGTCCAACAAATTTGTTACTATAATACGTTATTAATATCAATTTCACCTAAGGTATAAATATCTTCTATTGTACTTCTTTGGGTAGTCGAATCACCACTAAGATATGCTTCATCAAATCCTGTAGTTCCATACCACCCTTTTTAAAGATCACTGAGGAGTTGATGTTGGAAAAAATATCTATTTGTTTATAACAAAGAGGCAAACCACCATGGGAAGATAAAAAAGATTTATGCAGTTTATCCGAAGTAATATCCTATAGCTGTAGTGAGAAAAGATTAATTAAACTACTATAAATTAACAGCAGAGGTGTACAAACAAATATGGATGATGTAGGGGTTTTTATTTGAAACATCATCAAAATTGATATTTCATGGCTACTTAATTTATATTTATTATGTTAGAATGTTATAATTTGAAAAATACCTTTTTTTAGAGGGCTCTTTCATGTAAGGCTTATCTTTTATGAAAGGTCTGATTTCTTTCTTTTTGTGCTAATTTTAATTTCTTCATATGTTCAGATCCTTCTCATAAAAACAATGCAATGGTTGAAATTCCAAAACAATAAATCTTGGCTAAGAGGCATGTACAAAAAAAATCATTAGAATCAAAGAGTCATGTAGATCCTGGAAAAGATTGCACATGATATGTTGAGGATGCATATGAAGATGCCCATGGTTTTGCAGATAACTATGGAGCACTGACACTAACAAGATGATACGGATCCAAAATGAGCATGACATGCCATAATTTTACAAAGTAGGATGTGATACCCAATGAACATAATGTTTTATTTATAAATTATTAATATAAAATATATAGTTTATAGTATTTTATAGTAAAGGCCTAGAAATTATAATACCAAATGCGTATACTACAAAAGAAACTTACAATAACAAAAGAAAATACTATTAATAATAAAAGAAATGCCTTATCACTTGTGATATGTATTATTTGTTATCTACAGTCAAATATTAACATTCATTAATCATTGTCTATTGTTCCATATATTGCAAGTATATTAAATTATTAATATCTCAAAGGGCAAGTGATGGGGACAGCAGATTACGACACATGTACCTTCAGGAGATGCCGGAGATCGACGGCCACGATCATGATCTTTATTTTCATCATTTTATGTAGTAGTTTAATTTTATTTTATGTTTTTCAATTTTTGCCCTTATGGGTATTTGGTAGCTATTGTAGCCCAAGGGACATTTTAGTCTTTTGTTTTTCTTTGTCATTGTGAGGCCTATTTATATGGTCCTTCTCTTGTAATAGTGTATTGATGAAGAAATGAAATTTTCTGTTGTTTGTTCTCTTTGTGAGTTCAAAAAGATCTCTTAGTGAGTTCTTCACATGAGATCTCTTTGTGAGTTCTCTTAGTATTAGCATCCATTGATCTTCTCCTCGTCCACAAACGCCACCATCCACATCAACAAGTGGGAAGAAGCCGGCCTCCTCCACACTTGCCGTCACCTTGGAGCCCCACCCGTCGGCCACCACAATCCCGCCGGCCAACCACTTCTCTCACAAAAAAACGCCTCAAATTTATTGGAGTTTCGGTAAAAAATCGAAAAAAAAAATAGCTTGGACCTTTCAAATTTAAAGTGACATATTTTGAATTCTGTGCTTATTTTATAGAGAAAAGTTGTGCTACATTAGAATTAACACTAGGCTAAGAGGTTGTTTAATTTTGTTTTTGTTTATTTATGCCCCACTACTTTTGAAAATTTGTTAGCTAGATATTGTTTTTGATGCATCCAAGACTCATTGATTTCAGTATCCGTAAATGGTTCTGATTATGTTGACATGATGGATCAGGTACTTCTGGAAGAGTTGCTTGCTTGGCTTCATATTTGGTTTGCAACATATTGTTCAATTCAATATTGAGGATTGCAGGAAATATCAATGTAAGTCGTTAATGTCCTGTGCTTGCAAATTGGAACATCTTGGCCCAGAAAACTAGCTAATGCAGGTAACATGTCTTTCGAATTTGCACAGTATTATGACATCAGAAAGGAATGTGAAGGCAGTCTGTGTTATGATTTCTCAAACATGGAGAAATTCCTTAGCCTAAAACCAGTCAGAGAATCCCTTGGAGTTGGTGAAATACAATTTGTATCATGCAGCCCCACCGTATATGAGGCTATGCTTGCTGACTGGATGAAGAACTTGGAAGTGGGCATCCCTGCTCTTCTTGAGGATGGCATCAAGCTGCTTGTTTATGCTGGGGAATATGATCTCATATGTAACTGGCTTGGTGAGTTTTTTCGTCACCTATTACTGTTTTATATTTCTTCTTGCGTGATGCATAAAAAAGGTTGATTACGTTAACCTTTTACTTTTTTCGTCCATCAAAATGGGTGGATTGTTGCAGTTTGCCCATCACTGCTAGTGTTATTAATAAATGCATGTTATTGGTTGATGATGAACTACTGAAAATGAACTGCTTGGAACAGTTTGTTAGGAAGTAATTGAAGATTTCAAGTAATCCTTAACAAGAGAGGCAAAATCAGCAAAAAGCTCCACAAATTCGATGGAAAAATCAGCAAAATAGTAATTTTTATTGAAGAAATCAAACTAACGGAAGAAATAAAGCAATATACAATTGATCCTCAATTCGGGAGGAGAATCGTTCTCTCCCAATTCCTAGAAAAATCTAGGGCCCAAGACACCAAGAACTCCAAAATCAGCCACAAAACAAAGCATAACCCTCATTTAGCTCCAAAACATTTGAATTTGAGTTAGTGGGCCCCATCTCCCTCTCCCTCTCTCTTGCTGCCCACCTCCTATACACTTGAGCCGGCCCTTGGCAAGAGCCTGGCTGGACCGATCCAATAGGGACCGGTCTAACACAATTTTACCATGTGATCAGATTGGAGTGACCAGATTACTAACGAATAAATACACCTGTATTTTCCTGTGCTTTTATATGATAATGTTAATATAGATGTTTGTCTGTAAAGAAGGTAATTTTTGTTTGTCGGAAATGAAATTGTTGAAATCCTGCTTCAAGCACATTAGCCATTAACTGAGTTTATAAGCTATAGCTTGAGCTTAAGTTTGGGATTCTTTGATTTTTTTTTGTGCCTTCTCTCTCTAAACTCTAAAATACATTGCAACTTGATTTTTACTATTATTATCATATTGCTACATTGTTTGGTTTTGTGATAAGTAAATCATTGACATGTGAGTGGACTATGTTGGAATGAGGTGTTACTCTGCATAATTTAATTTCTCCAGGTTAGACTTTGTAATAGTATGCCTTTTAGCGAATATATGGTGAATCCACCATTGGACACTATTTATGAATTCATTCATTTTAAATTTTGGTAAGCTTTGGTAATCATTGTGAGTTTCATGGCTGAATTTGGTAATGTTGATCAGGAAATTCGAGATGGGTTCATGCCATGAAGTGGTCTGGTCAGGAAGCATTTGTTTCTTCATCTGAGAAGCCATTTACTGTAGATAGCAAGGATGCTGGAGTGTTGAAGAATCATGGTCCTCTCAGTTTCCTGAAGGTAAAATTATATTTTAGATAAATATGATTTTAATGGTATTTTTCACTCAAATCAAAATTACTATGGAATCCTAATATCAATTCATAAATTGTTGAGATGTTATTTAATTTTGTTTTTAATTTTCTTTCAATATAAACAAGGCGTTAAAATTTTTTATGCCAAGGAAATACTTGTAGCACATGATTTCCTTCTAACATGTTGCCTGACAGGTTCACAACGCTGGACACATGGTACCAATGGATCAGCCAAAGGCTTCATTAGAGATGCTGACAAGATGGATGAATGGAGACCTGGCTGAAGTTACGTCCGAATCTCAAGGCCTTGCTTCCGATATGTAATGTACAAAACACAGCATATTTCTACATTACAATTGCATGACATTTTATTAATACTTAGCTGATGGAAATGCTTGCAATTCATTTGAATGCTTGCACTGTCATATGATGAACAAAACCCATGCTTTTATTCCAGTCTTTGTACATTTCTTGTATAACCGCATTTCTTGTGGTGTTCTCTCCTTGTGTTATAACACATTAAACTGCTTCACCTAATAATGTATTGTGAAGCTATTTTGTATAATGGACTAATGGTAAATATAATTTTATTAATGTTAAAAAATGAGGAAGGACCATATATTTGTAGAGTAAACACAACGAAGAAAACAATCTTTGTAATTGTTGAATTCATTAATCAACTGTCATCATCCAACCCGAAGGCTCAAATTAATGAGGCAGAAATAGACGGCAAGATAGTTGATTACGTTTTTGTTTACTAGCTAATTCCAATATAGTGAAAGAGCCACTAAAATTTCAAAAATTTTAAAGAAAAATGCTATAAATATCTTTCTCGTCGAGTGTCGCGCCTACGATACATGTTTTCTCCTCTTTTGCACTCGCTCGGTCCCTCACTCCCCCGCTATATCTTTTTCTCTGTTTCTCCTAGCCTCATCCCGTCTCCCTCTCCTCTCTTAATTTATAGGAACGAAAGCCTTACAATGGAGACAACACGTGGTTCTTCATCTTCTATGTCCTTAAATGGCATCGACATTCTTCGTCTTCATCAAATCGATCGCGAGCTCCTTTGTCTCCGTCGCAATGTTGGCTGCTCCTTAGTCTTTTCGAACATAGTCCCTCCGTCTTCCTCACATTAGGTATCAGACAAACTCATTTGTCTCCCCATCATCTTCCTTTTGACTTTCGCTCCATTGCGACTCCAAAGCTTCGGCTCCATTGCCTTCTTCATGATTCTAGACAGCTCCAAACAACATAATGAACCATCATCTTCTTTGTCCCTATTCATCTTCACGTGTTTCTAATTACGAAACCGACCTAGTCAGTTCGGGATGTTCATATCTTCCCCACTTATAAAAATTTCATCATCAAAATTTACATATGACTTCTATTACTATATATCATCATGAAACATGGTAGTTACATACGTCATCTTAATTTCATTTAGCATAAAGTTTTATATGGAGTACATAACTCGCCAAAACAAAACATCGAAAAAAAATCATTAGCTATTACAATCATTTTAAATATCTTTGACAGCATCAATAAATTTATCAGGCTCTTGTTGAGTCAAAGCATAAACTCACAGTCGAACATTCTGCCTTGGTTGATTTTCCGTTGGAGCTAAAATTATTGATTGTATCATCTTCTATTTACTAAAATTCTTTTGTAAAGATGCTTCAGTTGATTTCATCTCTCCTAATGTCCTCCGACCTTACATAAGACAATATTTTGCTTTGTGATCAAGCTGACAACACTAGTAGCAAGTGTTGGAGCCCATAAAAACCTTTCACACTTAGTACAAGCTTCGATGACTTACTAGTAGCACCACTACTAACTCCATTAAGGTTGAAATTAGACTTCTTCTCATTTGATCATTCTAATTATTGTTGATATCTTCTTCAATACTCTTCATTTTATACTGATCTCTCCGCTTCTGAATGATTTGAAAGTTGATCTCCACCCTTCTATCTCTCTCTACCAATACAATATAAGCTTCTATTCATAAAGGTACTCACGGTTCCCAAATTGTATCTCTTAGACCAGATAGGAATTGATAATATTTCTTTTCTGCTGTTGCAACCAACTATGGTGCATATCCGGATAAGGTTGCAAATTTCGCTTCGTATTGCATCACCGATTTTTCTGCTTGCCCTAATCGTACTGCATAAGCCTTCTTGCATAAATAGCACGAACCATTCCCTGAAAATTTCTACAAAGTCTTCCAAGTTGACCAACGTATTTGAAATATCACCCAATTTGGCCTAGCTTCACACATTTCTCACTCCCCAACTATTCTTTCTCTATGTTTCTCCTTGTCTCACCCTCTCCCTCCCCTCTCTTAATTTATAGGAATGAAAGCCCTACAATGGACTCGACCCATGCTTCTTCGTCTTCTATGTACTCAATTGACATCGGCACTTCTTCGTCTTCTTCATCAAACCGATCATGACCTCCTTCATCTCCCTCGCAATGTCGGCCGCTCCTTGGTCTTCGCGAACACAGTCGCTCTGTCTTCTTCTCACAAGCTATTGGATGAACTCCTTTGTCTCCTTATCTTCCTCCCTTCAAATTCCGGTTATTTGTGACTCCAAATGATTCGGCTCCCTCACCTTCTTCACGATTACAGATGGCTCCAAACCGCCGAGCGAACCTTCGTCTTTTTTGTCTTTACACGATTATAGGGGTGTCAATTTTTGACATGACCCGAAACACGACATGAACCGACCTGAAAAAAATTTGAGTTAGGGTCAACCCGGATTCAAAATGGTCGGGTTCGGGTTCAACAAATCTACCTGTTTTAAAAATCGGGTCGGGTTCGGGTTGACCAGCAACCCAAAAAAGACCCGAAATTGACATGAAAATCCTATTTGACTCGGAAACCCGAGATTGACCCGTTTTTTATCCGATTTTGACCCGAAAACTAGCAATTTTTGGTCAACTTCGGGTCATTCGTGTCTGGTCGGGTTGACCCGGACCCGAATCGGGTCGGGTTTGGGTCCGAAAACCTGACCCATTTTTTAAAACGGGTTGGGTTCGGGTTGACCCGAACAGTGCCGGGTCAGTTCTGGGTTCTACCTGAACCCGACCCGTTGACCCGAATTGACACCCCTAATGTTACATCAACCATCTCTTTAGAGAAATAAAAAAGGCAAAAAAATAATTAAAGAAATATCAACAAATTATCAAGACTGAAAAAAAAAATGCCATAAAGCTGTTAAACTGCCCTAATATTGCTAATGATTAGCCTTCATTATTGCTACAAATAGACACTGGGTAAAAAAAAACAAAAAAACCCTGAACAAATGCTTTGGTCTTGGACAACACAGATTAACTTATTCAATAATTTAATAAGATTAATTTCAAAGCACCTCCCTTAAACAGGATTCTCCTACGTGCAAATTGAAAGCTAGCTTTTGAATTGTTAGCAGCTTAAGAGGCTGGTAAAATTAACTGGCGAACAACTGAATCCTTAATTATGTAGTAAATATGATAAATGATTCTTTCCTTAGTTCTCTTTAGAAGTATAACTTCACATGTATTGTGCTTTTTGGGAAACAGCTAGCGGAAGCGTCCGACGCAGACTTTTCTAAATTTCACCAGATAGATGAATCCTAAACTTTGGCCTCCAATATCTCACCCCTCTCTCTCTCTCTCTCTCTCTCTCCATTTTTATCTTTATATAAACTCTCTTTATTAGGAACTTTTATTTGGTCCGGTCACAGGACGTAGCTCTACATTCGGCCGCCAGTAGAATCGCGCCACGCGTTCTCACTATTTACCGCGTGCCCCAACAATCCGACCCAAAACGGACCCAGGATGGCTCGGTATTTCTCGATTTTGCTAGATATTGCTCGGTGTTGTTAGGTATTGGTCGATTTTGCTCGGCAATAACCAATATCGAGCAAATGCCGAGCAATACTGAGCAAATACCGAGCAATACCGATCAAATACCGAGTAATACCGAGCATTACTGAGTTGTACCGAGTTTTTCACAGACGGTATTGCTCGGTATTGGTCTTCACGGAGCGGTATTTCTCGTTATTGCCAAGCAATACTGAGCAAATACCGAGTAATACCTCGCAATACGCGAACATAGCAATCCTGGGTTCCGGTCCTGGTCAAGTCGTCGGGCTGCGCGGTAAAGAATATGAGCACGTGACGACATGTTATTGACGGCCGAACGTAGCTCTACGTTGACCGGACGTAATAATTGTTCCTTATTAGGGTTACAAGTGGTTGCTCTATGAATTCTCAATGCACAGAAGTTTCTCTCATATTTAGAGTTTAAAACTAGCTTATATATCAAGTGCATGATTCAAATAAAATCTCATTTTAATTAAGAAACTAAGTATGGGTTGATCATATATTACAATTATAATATATGATATGATTAGTTAATTGGACTGTCTCAGTCTTATAGCACGATAAATATCATTAATCATCTTACACGATAATTCAAATTTTGATATTTTTTCTTTTAAGGATTTTTTTTTTTGGCTAGTTAGATTGAATTAATCACGTTGATTGTGCGGTATGATGTATATCATATAATATAATTAATTTAAAATTTTAAAATCTTAATTAATAAAATTTAATCTACCAAAATAAGATATATTATATAGTACTATATTAATCTATGAAGATTTAATTACAAAATCAAGCCTACTATCGTTTAAGCATTATTACATAAAGGTACATAATGATCTACTACTACAATTGCATGTAGAAGTTATGGTATAAAAGAGGTAGTTTTTTATGGATTCAATTTTTTTTTTAAGGTTTTTATAAAAGAGGTAATTTTAATTATTTTTTAAAACAATTTTTTTT